CCAGGTATTATCTTGATTCTTTACTAACACAGTTAACACAGCATAACTACACATGTTGCAGTGCCTTACTAATGCAACTCACGCTAAAAGCATGGGAGAAACCGAGTTTTGGGTGCATCACTCACTGATTTGGTTGTGGCCACATCTGACAGTGAATTAGGTATTGACCTAGTTCCTTACTGGAATCATTAACCCCTAAAATACAAATTGCATCCCCTGTTGCTACACAGTAACTTGGCGCTTGTATTTCCTCTGCTTGCTGCCATCACACACTGATAACATTTTTCCCCAAAACAATGGTGCTCTTCTCTGCTTGACCCTATTCTGCTCTCCGTGCGACACAGGCTTGGTTGTCTGTCTGTCTAACTGTGTGTTTATGTTTCTATCAAACAGGCAAAGTCTCTAGAGTGGCGGTGTAAAGAGAACCATGAACGTGGCTTCAGTTTCCTCTTTGGTCATTTCAGGAAGTTCTACCTTCCTCACATCTTTCCCAACTTCTCCATGGAAACCAGCCTCTACAGCCCCATGCTGGGTTAGTACTACTAAGTCATTTAGATCTACTAAATAAGATTATTTAACCAAAGAAACATTTATTTATTTGTGATGTGTACTGGGGAAAACAATGACCCTTCAATTTAGACAAGAGGGAGCCAAATCTGGAGTGGAGTAATGATAAATGAACTCATGTTTTGGTCTTTCTAAACACTTAAAGCACTTTTGTGGTACTAAAAGTGCTGCATTCACCAATTCACACACACATTACACCAATGGACATTCGGCATGGACTCCAGTTAATTAATGATCTGCTCTACCTACTAAAACTGAACAGGAGAAACATGAGCCCCTGAGACCTGGCTCATTATCATGGTGGAGCACCCAGCTGTCGTCGCATCGCCGTTTGAATAGTTTACAAACATTGCTGGACGTTACAGTAGAACTCTGCTCTGACAGTCTCACTTTGAAGGATGCTGTGTTGTAAGCACTGTCCTTTTCTGAGAAGACTGGTGTTTGTTCCACACTGTGCTGCTTTTATTAGCTATGCAACATGACTGTGTTGTGTTCACTTTGTACACAACAAGAACAGACTCAAAACTCGGTGATCGTACCTCATAATTAATCCTGTGCCCCTTAAATATATATTCCTCTCTCCGTCATCCATAGATGTGCCTCCTATGCGTTCTAAGCCGTACTACAGTGTTGTGCGCAGAGAGCAGGACAGCGGCGAAACGCTGTATTGCACTAAGGAAAGTTTCCTTCAGGCTCGAGTTGTCTTTATCCGCTGGCTGGTTTCCTTCTGGCTCGAGCCACGACCCAACACACATACCCACATCCCAGGAACAGAGGGAGAGAATGTCCCCAAGAACATACAGGTAAGTATGAGCACATTATTATGCATCACTTGGTTCTTGTGTTTTAACTGCTCAATTTGCAGAAGCAAATGCGAAAGATTTTAAAATACCTCTGACCCTGTCTCTGCTTACCTTCAGCGAGCAGCAGCTGGATTTGCAGCTCGCTCCACAGGCAGCTCAGAGGACAGCGGTGGGGGAGGGATTCGATCTGACAGCCACCTTGAAGCAAGCGGAAGCTCAAGTGGGCGAGGAGGAGGAAGCATGGAGCTCTCCGGAGGTGCAGGGACTGAACCTGAACAGAGCCACTCGAACACATCTACACTGACAGAGAGAGAGCCCAGCTCCTCCTCACTCTGCTCCATGGATGAAGAGCAGCTGACAGACATGGAGGTGGTGAGAAGAGTGCTGACCAGCTCCAGAACCAACGTCAACTTCATCACAGAGATCTTTCGACAGGTTAAGGAAAAATGGTTATTTATCATAAAGTGAGAACAGTTTCCTTGTATCTTTCTTGACATGTTCATATTCCCGGTTGCTGCAGGCGTTTCTTCTTCCCATGTGCGAGGCAGCGGCAATGCGAAAGGTGGTCCGAGTTTACCAGGAGTGGATCTCCATGGAAGACAAACCAGTTTTCATGAAGGAGCCAGAGGAGGGCCCTTATCCTATAGTCACGGCCACAAGTATGGATACAGGCTCGCAATTCGGAGACAAAGATGATGAGGTGAGAAATTTTGTGAAATCAGTCATGTAATTAGCTGAAATACTCAGGTAAACGTTCTGTACATTAGCAGCCAACAAGTTTCAGTTCTCAAGACCAGCTTGAGGTAAATAGAAGTGTTTATTTGTGTACTTTCCTTTTTTTAAGGGAATGAATAAAGTGATTGACAGTGAATTGTTGGAATACAGTGTTCATGCTGGAGTTCAAACTACACTACAGGTATGTTCTCACACACAAAAACTGCCAAACTTCCACAATCTTGGTGTTATTTCTTAAATATTTCTTGTGGTTTTGATTGCCTTTCTTCCGTCTCTGTCTCCTCTACAGGTGTTTATCACCCACTCCTCTAACGTTTTCCTGCTGGAACCAGCCAACGACATTAAGATCCTTTTGGAGGAGCATGTCGATATGTGCAAGCGAGTGCTGAACATCTACCGCAGCCTTGTCATGCATGAAACCATGGACCAGAAGACATGGTAAAAACACAAACAGCAGCGTAAAATGCCATCTAATTACATTTGTGTGCTCTCAACTACCTGCTGTTTCTGATTAAAGAAGAAGAACCGTTTAGCTTTAACGAGTGTTCCTGAATTTGTAGGGAGCAGATCTTGCTGATTTTGCTGAGGGTGACAGAGTCAGTAATGAAAAGGCCTCCATCCATCATGCCTCAGGGCAAGAAGAACAACACATTGTCGGGCAGATTAGCTGGACCCATCTTTCAGGTACGTTATAATAATGTCATGAAAATAAGGAGGCTCACTGGAAGGCCCGGCTACGCCGGCTCAGTCACTTCCACACACACAGCCACTCGGCTGGAGAGAGGCCTGGGGTTGGAGCTGGGGCAGGGTCAGGGGGGAAGCTGGGAACAGGGGGTTCAGGTAAGTTTGGCTCTGTGGCTGTTATCAGCCATAGAACAGGCGTACACGAGACATTAGCATCTGGGACTATAACGGATAGCAGTGGGACAGGGGGCACAGCAGGCCTGGAAACCCGGTCATCATCTAAAAGACTTCTATATTTCAATATTATATAATCATGTGTTTTAATATGTTACCACACTCTAGGGTTGCCAGCATGACTTATTTTACTTCATCCCTCTCTTTCTGTACAGACACTGATAGTAGCCTGGATTAAGGGCAACTTAAACGTCTACATAAGCAGAGAGCTGTGGGATGACCTCCTCTCTGTCCTCTCCTCCCTAACCTGCTGGGAGGAGCTGGTCACTGAATGGTCACTGACCATGGAGACGCTTACAAAGGTACTGAACAGGGACCACATATACCTCCGCTCTGCTATTAATATAACTAGATAAATTCAGTTCAACACTTATCCAAGTCCTCCAACTGTTACCACCTAAAACAGTGTGGTAAAAGATTAAAGCTTTGTTATGTCTCTGTGTCTTAGGTTTTGGCAAGGAACCTGTACAGTGTCGATCTGAATGAGCTGCCTCTCGACAAGCTCAGTGAACAAAAACAGAAGAAACATAAAGGAAAAGGTGAGTCACTTTTACCGACCTTCAAAAGACATTCCTGTGACTTCCTAAGAGCATATCTGGAACACAGCCGGCTGATTGTCACATCGCACTGCTGGAACCAAATGCAGCTCTGGAATATAAATTGGTCTGTTCATGTATTATTTTTTGACTGCAAAAAACTGAGGTCACAGAAAAACTACTAATTTGTAAATTTAGCAGATTTCTAGATGTAAATAGCACACGTGTTTTCAGCTCAGTTCACCGAGAAGTCATTCCTCTGTTCTTACAACAGGTATTGGTCCGGAGAGCCAGCGGCAGGTTGTCGATCGTTCCTTCTCTAAAGGCTGGAGCAGAGACCAACCAGGCCAGGCAGCCGCCATGAGACAGCGAAGCGCCACCACTGCTGGGTCACCAGGCATCGAAAAAGCCCGCAGTATTGTCCGGCAGAAGACTGTAGGTCAGTGTGCCCTCTTCCTACAACTCTGCTCCCTTTGAATGTAAATGTTCATAGCACTGACTCCCAGAATTTGTCTATGCATACTTTGGAGAAATAAATGGTGCGCAACAAAGCCAAACTAGCATGCTGTCTTTCCTCAGTAGATTTTGGATACCGTCACGCTCTTCTCAAGTCAGTTTTGTTTGATTTAATGTCTCTCCTCTGCTTCCCTCCTCCTGCCCATCTGTCAGCCTGACAGGAAGCTGTGGCATATGCTCACTACCATTCCTCTCTGGAGTCATGTTTATGGAAAATCTTTAGCTGTGGCCATTAGTATGAAAGATGTAGTTACAGCAATGCTTGAATAGGTTTAGTATCAGCTGAGATGATGAATAAAACAAATCCGAAAATCAAGTTGGGACTTTAAAAATACATTCACAGCTCTAAATACCCCAATTAAAAATTGTAACTGTGATGCCAAAAATTTGAGTAGTACTATTAAATATTTGATAAAATATTTGACTCTTTTGGTAGAGAATTTTTTTAACCTTGAAATCCATATATAATACTGTTTCCTCCTTTTTTAAGCTATATTACCAAAGATGTTTCAAACGTGAATACACGCAGCCAGCCGGTTTGAATAATCTCAGTGTTATACATTACGATAAAGACGGTTCTGCTCCAGTTGTGAATGCCAGAGTAGATTGAAACTAACCACAACAAAGGACGTTCCTCCACACTCTGCAGGGATTGAAGGTGTGGTTCCAGAAGGGTCTCTACAACCGGATTAGTTTAGGATATTTTCTTGAATGTCAACACGATGATTCCCATTTTCATTTAATTTTATGTAGCGTTCCTGTTTGTCATGGGCTTATGAAGAGACTTGAGCTGCAGAACTCCCACCAGCTCTCTCACTCTCTCACTCACCAACTTTCCTGCAAAACTAACCCTGTCTCACCCCTCCCTCACCTTCCCTTCCCGTCTCTGTCCCTCCATGCCCATCATGGAGCCCACCTTTTCAATACCATCCTGTCACTTGTCTCTTGTTCCACTAATTTCCTCCAAGCTGTGTTTCTATGCTTTTGTCTTATTTACTAAACGTATTCACTTGCTCTCTCTTTCTATTATCTTCATTTTTTATGTACTCTTTTCCACTTCTCCTTCCTCACTTACCTCTTAACCTTTATCTATACTTTTTCCTCTTTTTTGTATTTTTCCCTTTTCTGTCCCACACTCTTCCTCTCTTCTGTTTCTCTTCTTCCCACTTCCTCAGCCCTGCGTAGCTGTTCTACAGGGGATTCTCTGCTGTCCTCAGCCTTTATCCGCAGTGCTAAGAGTGCTCCTGCTCTGGCTCCACCTCTTCCTGTCCTCCTCCACCACCACCACCACCCTTTACTACCCCCCCTTGCCGACCAGCTGGCAGGTACACACTCTTTGCACTACCTGTCTGCCTGCCTGCTGCCTGCCTGCCTGGATTAGTCGTCTACACAGACTGAAACTCTGCCTGTTGTCTTGTCTCTGAATATTTCTCTTTTCTTGTTTGTTTGTTATCACTGGATCAACAGTTTTCATCCGCTCCATCAACAGTCATTGACCCCATTCCCAGTTCAACTGCAACTTGGCTAATCTTAAAAGCTGTTGATCAGCAGTGCGCAAAATTTGCATGTTGCAAGTGTAGATCTCTGAATTTTTTTCATCGTTTAACAAGCAAGTTGTTTCTCAAATACGGTCTTTGTTCAGTAAAATGTCAAAAGATGGCCTAAAATGATTATTTGCAAGATGCAAAAGGGGCATATTTTTGTAAAACTGAAAGATATTCCCAAATCATATAATACAAAATATTTATATGCAAGATCTTCCACTGGAAGAACAGAGGTGCTTAAAGGTCTCTGCAGATGGTGAGAATCCTTCGTCCACCTGCTGAAGTTTGTGGTTACAGAGGTTAGTGACAGCTCACAAAGCAGACAGCACAAGGACAGCCAGTGCAGCTGATTGATATTGAGGAGTACCACAGCAGTAACCTATCCAGGGAGCCAACTGAGAGAAGACTTGAGGGGAGTAGGGCAGAAACTGAACATTAAAGTAAGAGCAACCAATACATAGCCTTGTTTCTCAGATAGAAAAAAACTCAAAAACAAAACACTGAAGTGCTGATATGCTTTGGCAGGTGTTAGTACATCTGGCAGTCACCCAGATGATCAAGTATGTTTGTTGGAATCACTCAACTGTGATTGTATTTGTAGGATGTGTTAAATAATCACCTCAATATATACAGATCAGGCGTAACATTGATTGCCTGCCTAATATTGTGTTGGTTCACCTTTTGCTGTCAACTCTTACCTGCAGGGGCACGCACTCTGTATTGTTGTGCTCCTCAAACCATTCCTGAACTATTTTTGCTTTGTGAAAGAGACCACAGCCATCAGGGAGTACTGTTTCCACAAAAGAGTGCATGGTCTGCAACAGTGCTTAGGTAGATGGTATGTATCCAAGTAAAATCCACATGGATGGCAGGCCCCAGAGTTTCCCAGCAGAAAATCGCCCAAAACATTACACTGCCACTGCTGGCTTGCTGTCTTCCCATAGTGCATCCTGGCGGTAGGTGTTCCCCAGGTAAACAACAGACAGGCGCACCCATCTATGCGATATAAAAGAAACCGGAGTAATCAGGGCAGGTCACCTTTCAGTGGTGGGCAGGGGTCAGCTTGGCCACCCTGACTGGTCTGCAGTTCTGTAGCCACACATAGAAGAAACTGTGATGCACTGTGTATTCTGTATTTAATGTATTCAGCATTAAATTTTTCATTGCTTTGAGCTACAGCGGTTCATCCATTGGATCAGTCAGTGTTATAATGTTATGCCTGATCAATGAATGTCTTCAGCAGCTTGCTAAAATGCTATTTTAAACACGTCTGCATATGTAAACTAGAACTAGTTTATATATGCATATTTATTATATAAATCGAATTCATTCTGGGCCAGCCAGTAGTGAACAAACATGTATGTCATTTTCAGTCTGTGTTCCAAACATTTCACTTAGACTTTAGATGTAAGTGGGATTTGCTTTTCTTGTTGTACACCTGTTTGCATGAAACTCGACATACCTGTTTTCTTTGTTATTTGCTTATCATCTTGCTTGCCTGCCTGCCTGCCCGCCTATTAGCCTGCACCTTACTCTTATCTGCCTGCACACACATTTGTCTTCGAGGTCTTGCCATTAACTCTACATATTTGCATTTTTTTCTGCGTGTTATAAGTCACTTTATTTCTCTACCTTTCTTCTTGATCTTCCTTTCACCAATTTTTTTTGGTGTAAAATTTCATATGATTTGCTTTATTCTTGCAGTGGCTTTTGCTCGGACAGCTCTCCTTTCTCTTTAGTATGAGAGGATGATGACTCGCATATCATTTTTGTTGTTTTTAGTGTGTCTGTGTGTGGTGGTCACTAATGGATGGTTATTGTGCAAGAGAGAAAACCCACTGAAATAATTGTAAATGAAACTTAAGGGGAATTTCTGTGACATTAAACATGATGGTTGTACAACATAGCTTGCTCTTGCAAGTGCACAACAGCCAAACTGGGAAGCAGTCAGCTGTGTTGCTGCATTGTTGCAAGCGAAATGGTGTATAGTATAACACACAGGTGTTGAACTCCAGGCCTCAAGGGCCGGTGTCCTGCAGGTTTTAGATGTCCTTGATCCAACACAGCTGATTTAAATAGCTAAATTACCTCCTCAACATTTCTCAGTGTTCTCCAGAAGCCTGGTAATGAACTAATCATTGGATTCAGGTGTGTTGACCCAGGCTGATATCTAAAACCTGCAGGACACTGGCCCTCGAGGCCTGGAGTTCGACACCCCTGGTATAACATATGAGGGGAAAGAGATTTTTACATAAATGATTTTGATCTTGTCCATCTTCTTTATCTTCTTAAAATCAAATTCCAGCTTCATATTCATGCCATCAAACTATGCTAGTTCAGAATTATCCTTATTTATCTTATTCTGGACCTTATTGCAATTCTAAGTTTGTCCTCTGTCTGAAGCAATATCTCTTAGCACGTAGGTTGGGCTTCTGTGTTCACAGGCAGAGCTATGTGCCTGAGATAGTCATATTAGGGAATTATCTACTCTCTTTAAAATCATCTTGAGCCAAACATAGAAAAAAAACTGTTCTGAAGCCAGACCTTTTGACTCGGGGAGTCTATTTGTTGATAGTTCGCAGTTTAAAACTTAATTAATAATAATATTTATGAAGATGTAACTACCAAACAGTCAGCATTCAGGCATTTATCCAATGTTTTTTTTTTCTTTTTCTACTAAAACAAGGTAAAAAAGGTCATGGTTAGCACCAGTAGTAGCTTGATAAATAGCCATAGGATGTTTGCTATGAATACATTTTGTTTTTGTAAGCAACATCAGTGAGTACAATCTGATAAAGAACCAGACTTTAGATAACTTCTGCCTAATGCATTCTTTCAGATCTGTGTGTGTGTGTGTGTGCGTGTGCGTGTGCACATGCCTGCATGCACAGTTTTTAATGTGTCTCCTCCCCTTTCTGCTCCAGCTAATGCCACTCCTTTTCCTTCCAGACCTCGAGGATCCACCAATCACACTGACATCCCGCACGTCTCGGATGCGCCACTCATCCCAGAGCGACGAGACTCCTCCCATCTCCTGTTCTGAGGTCTTCCAGGGTGGGGCTTGTGATCTGGATACCCCAGCCCCATCCTCCCTTGCAAGGAGCAGCAGTGCCTCTGACATCATGGAGCCTTTCATCACAGAGCGGGTCAAAGGTGAAGATCCCCAGAGGGATCCAAATTTGATCCCAAATCCTTCTCCCCATCACCACCACTCCACAACTTCTTCCTTACTCGTAACCACCAGCCACGCAGCTCAACCACCCTCACAGTCCCTCACCTTCTCTTCTCCCACCCCTTTTGCCTTCTCCAATGGTGCTGTTTCCTCGTCCTCAGAGGTAAAAGATGATGGTAGTGTGTGCAATCAATTCTGGCACCAAAGTGTCTCTCGAAGCCGAGGTTCTAGTTCCGATTGGGTGAGTGACTGGGACTCAGCCTTCGCCTTTCAACCTGAAAAGGAAGCTGATGCAGATGAGGGTGAAACTGGGGAAGATGATTTATTCTCTTCTATTAGGGACTACCTCATTAACAAAGAAGCTGAGAGGAAGGGCGAGACAGGCGAGAAAGATAGTCCCGGTCGAGCGGTAGAAAACAGCGTTGCTTTACCCGCACTCGTGCAAACAGGATTGGCAAGAACACAGTTAGAAAACAGAGGGCAGCTCGGAGAAGCAAAGCAGGTGGTAAGGGAGGACAGACAGGTAAGTAAATCAGTGAGACATAGCAGTGTGGATTCTATTGAGGAGAATGAGGCAGAGCAGCCGAGTATCTATGAGTGCTTGGAGCTGCAGTGTCAGTGGCCATCACCCAGTGCTAAGGTGGGCTCTAGTTTAGAAAGAACTACTGCTGAAAAGAAGGTTGTGGGAGGAAATAGTGGAAAGGCAACAGTATTGGAAGGGAAATATGACTTATGGGGTGATACAGAAGAGAAACAAGATGATAAAGAAATGGCAGCAAATGACAAGTCCAGTTTAATTAGGCAAGATACTACTGTGGGTGAAGGAAGCAGTGAATCAGTTCCCCAAACTTCAGAACCCACTAAGACCAAGATGTCCCGTAGTAGCACTAAGAGGCATCATTCTGGGGGTGTCCATGTCAGTTTCCGGCCCTCAACTGAATCTGTCCAGTTCCATAACCCTCTTGAAAATAAGGAGGCCCACTGGAAAGCCCGGCTACGCCGGCTCAGTCACTTCCACACACACAGCCACTCGGCTGGAGAGAGGCCTGGGGTTGGAGCTGGGGCAGGGTCAGGGGGGAAGCTGGGAACAGGGGGTTCAGGTAAGTTTGGCTCTGTGGCTGTTATCAGCCATAGAACAGGCGTACACGAGAAATTAGCATCTGGGACTCTAACAGATAGCAGTGGGACAGGGGGCACAGCAGGCCTGGAAACCCGGTCTGGGACTGGAGGGGACAAAGACAAGCAGCATGCTGGATCCTGTGTGGGATCCAGTCATGGCCCAGAGGTTCACTCTGAGGTGTTGTCAAGCAGTTCAGGTTCCTCAGGAGTGCGCGGACGTTTAGGACGTTCCGCCTTGCGATCTAGAGCCTCCCGCTCACGCTCCCAAGAGCCAGGGAGCACTGCCTCACGGCACCACCAGGGGGCTCTTCTTGGTGGTGTTTATAAGACTGTGGTTCACGCTCTGTCGTCCAAGCCTCGGCCCCAAGGTCAGGGGTCATCCCAAGGCTCGTCGCCGCAGCGGCAGGCCCGGGCCACCATGGGTGATGCATCACTCAGGGATCTCTACTCCCATGTCCTGGGCTACTTTGGACGAAAGACGACTACGCCAGGTGAGGATCGCAACGAACGAAGTTCTCACAAAGGAAACAGCTGTGGAAAGACAAATACTCACCACCACACAAACACCAGCAACTTTCTTTTCCTTTTTGGCTGTTTTTTTTTTTCTTTTTTAACTGGTTTGTTATGATGGAATGACATTTTTGGCTGAAACTCATCATCTTGCTGCTGGACTGAAATTCAAACTCCCTGTTGATGTGTTTCCTCTTGAACGTAGCCCCTCCTCCAGCCTGCCTCTTATCAAGGACCCTCACCCTCTTACTTCCCATGCCTTTCCACTTCTCTAGCTCAGAAGCTCCCTCCCTCCTCCTTTCTGCTTCCTCTAAGGGTTTCGGGATTTTTAACCTTCTCACCTCCTTACCCTGTTCTCCACCTCCATCCTCACCTTGATGTTGCATGCAGCCTCCTCGTGCCTCCTTCGTCTCCTCCCCCGGACTCCGGCCCTTCTTCAGCTCTACAGAAGGAAATTGATCTACAGACAAGCACAAATGTCTGTAGAAAAAGAAAACAGCTGACATACACTATACTATTGAGAAAGATCCCAGATATTTTGTAGCACTTTCAGGCTTTGATTCATTGTTGTCAATCAAGGAATATCAGTGATTTTACAAATTGAGTGTAAGCATTTAGCTGTAGTTCATTCTCACACCACTAGAGTGCAGCATAAGACCCTTTGATAAATTGATTGTAGTAATCTAGACAGAATTTGAATGAATATAAAAAGGTATGCGCTTTCAAATTGGTAATGGTTATTTGCCTTGGACACTGCTACAGCCTTTATCAGCTATGCTGAATGGTTAAGTGCACATTTGAATCAGCAGCACAAATGCCACCTTTTTCTGTTCATTCTAATCCTTGGTGCAGAAGTGAGGCTATTTTACCTTCGGGTTTGGATTTTTGATAAGAGCACAATGATTCATCACCTGAATCTGTCTTGATGTGGAGTTACTGTTGCAAAACCACTTTTTAAAATCATGTTCTTACATTATTCAGGAGTATTGCATGGCAGCTTGTGTCAAATAATATACTTGTTTGGTTTGTCTACTAATGTTCCAGATGTTTTAGGCCTGCATTATTTATTTGTTTGTTTTTTTTATTTAATTTTTTTATTACAGTAAGGAAGAAATTGCATTTTAGTGTAAATAAGCAATTTTGGGCATTCACGGTTTCACCTGGTACTTTTTTATACCAGATATTATATGCTGTGGCTGGTTAAACTCAGATTGATGGTGCTTTTGCATAATCCATGAGCACAAGTGGCGCCACTTGACCACACTCTTTTATGGTTCGGTTGTGCAGAATTTGCATGACTGAACTGAGTCCATTAGAATGAGCTTGTGCAGTTATTGTAAACTCTCCACACTGAAGTCCTTAAAAAAGGGCTTTATTAGGTCTAGTGTGTTGCATCATTGTTACTGTATTTGTCCATTCACAGCAGCTGGTACTTTACTGAACTGCAGCATGAGTGAGAGAAAGCTTGGAGTGCAGTGAGTCATTGGTAACTCTCCATGTAGAGTAATATATCCAGAATTGTTTTTATTTTTGGATCTCTTCGCTAAGAGTGTTGATCCAGTGGAGACAAGGTCATCCATAGCTCTTATCTTATTGAGGTGATTTTGGTATCAGGTGCCAGACGACACACACTGCAATTGTTGAAATGACTCAACCGAATGGGCTGAACATGTGAAAAAAATCCACTAGAGATGAGTTGTCAAGTCTGTCAGATGGCATAGTCTGTGTAAGGTCAGCTCACAGCTTGTTTATGGTACTAATAGGGAATGCATTGTATATGTTAGCTTTAATGGTGCATTAATGAGACTAAAAACACTTTTCTTTTTCCTTCCATTTTGTGTTGCTATTGGTGATGTCATGGCAAATAACCATTACAGTAAAATATTATTTAACATCTGGGCAAGGGCACATGTCTGAATAACACACTAATTTTGCTTTTGAGTATTCAGGAATGATATCTGTAAGGCTTCAATAGAAGCAACATTAAGTTTACTTAAGTTCTCTCTGTACTATCACGGCCACAGTATTCTGATCCTGCTTAAATTTTTATGGTTGCGCTTACGTTACCTACTGCAGAGGTGGAGCAGATGATGTCTTTGGGTGATGTACAAGTGTACCTGCAGGGTATTCCCTTTTGAATTTTTCTTGTTCGGTGGTAAATTCTGTGTTAAATGTGGCAGTAAATAATTTGGTTGCTATTTTTGTATCCAAGCTAACAGCAGTATAACTCATAGTAACATAACTGCACTAATGTGGGCCTGTGGTATGCTGCTTGTTTGGAGCTAACAGTGTGATACTCTCTCTTGCTCTGTCTGCATGGTGTGTATTAACTCCTGCATTGCTTTCCTGGTGGTTATTGATGCGCCTGCTATTGTGGCTTTTCTTTATTTAAAAAATACAGTTTTAAATAACATTCAGGCCTACAGTATACACACACATCAGGACTGCTCTTAAATCATCAATTTTACCAGTTACTAGTTTGTTTTAGTGATATTGTGACATTTCAGTGTAACATCTGATCACTGTGCTTTAAATGGTGCTTTTAATGCTCTGTGGGCAATGTTGGGATTACTGTTTCCTGATCAAAAACAAAATGTCACCATATCTTTGATTTTTAGATGTTTACAAAGATTATCAACAAGTCAGACCTGATGATAGTCATGTTACACAATTCCTTATTTCTTGGTATGTCTAAGTTTTCTATCATTGAAACTGTTTGTGTGGGTAGGCATCAGTCAAGCCCCTCTCAGGCATCTGCTCCTTTCTGTAAATGTGACAGCATCTGAGCAAGTCCTGTCTGAATGCACATCCTGGTCACTTTTTCATTAGAAAACTCAAGAAAAGACTTGAACTGTTAACTACCTAAAAACTGGATATTTATGCACCTTAAACATCATGGACAGCACAACAAATAAAACTTTGAGACGTCTTAATAACTTTAAAGGTGTGCATTGAAGTATTTTATTTTGAAAGTCCAGTTGCCGCTAACCAGCCAGGCTCGGCTCTGGTATGTAAATTTACTACCTGCTGGCTGGCCTGGGAATGATGTCATTCAGCTTCCTCTCCAGTGAGTCTCTTCCTGGATTTCCTTAAGAGCGGTTGTCAGCTGGACTTCAGGGTTGTGGAGTTGGAAGAGAGACTTGCCGGTGAAGCAGCTGCATGATGTTGAGGATCAGAATAGTGAGCTGGCCTGTTTGAAGATGGGGACAATGTCTGAATGGGTGTATGCTGTCACTTTAACAGGTTAATAGTTTTGTATACAATGTCTGACAGGGGCTTCACAGTCTGTCTTTGTGTGTTTGCTTACTTATATGGCTCCCTATGCTTGTGAATGCTCATTGGTTTTTATCATTCCTGTGTGTGTGTGTGTGTGTGTGTGTGTGTGTGTGTGTGTGTGTGTGTGTGTGTGTGTGTGTGTGTGTGTGTGTGTGTGTGTGTGTGTGTGTGTGTGTTTATTATAACCTTGTCTACCTCTGTGCCTCATTATGCATTTGTGTTTGTAGCCAATAAAGAGGAGGTGGTCCAGAAGGCCCGTCCAGTCTCCACTGATGTTGGAAGCAGCAACCCAAACTTCTCTGACCTCATGGATGAGTTTATCCAGGAGAGACTGAGGGCCAAAGGAACTTCAGTTAGTACAACACGCACGCTAATTTCAGATTGTGTCATAAGATGGAAGATACGAGCGTCACTTTCTCCTCTGTACACAGGGTCGCCGTGGCAGCAGCCCGGGAAGCCTGGAAGTCCCCAGGGATCTGCCAGAGCTCCTGGAGGCCAGTCATAGTCGTGATGGATCGCGACCCTTAGATGATCTTCGGCCTGTCGATGATCCGGGGGTTCCCTCTGAGTGGACGTCACCCGCTAGTGCCAGCGGTTCTGATGTCATCAGCTCCGACAGCCAGTCAGACTCCTTTAATGCCTTTCAGTACTCCACCTGCAAATTTGATAGTAAGGAACAAGATATGAGCAGTTTATTTATGCTGCACGGCACACATTTATCCTCTTTTTAAAACAATATTAAAGTATAAAACTGTTATCTTGAGCAAAACTTTTTATTAGTTCGTGTAAAATAGTTTTATGTTATTAAATAATCATTTTTTCTGCCAAGAGAAGCAGAAAAACACAAAATTGAGTTTCTTTTTTTTAAGGTAAATTAATCTGTAGGAGTAAGCCATCTCATCTTCTGTTTAACTTTGAAGAAGTTTTTGTGAAGTGTTTAAAAATAATGCATCACAGTTTGTCAGGCTGCTGAAATTAAAAGAGGAAAATCAACAACTGTACAGCAATGATGACTTTTCTTTCTTTTGTAGATTTTACTTTTAGCGCCGAGGCGTCTGCAGGGGGAGCTGGATCTGCAGCAGGAGGGGGAGGAGGTCGAGGCAGCTCGCTGGATCAGGACAGTCTCGGTGGGGGCGTGGCCTGTGAAGAGCAGGAGGTGGCCAGTTTGACGACACTTCACATCGACTCAGAGACGAGCAGCCTGAGCCACACTGTCACGGTTACAGGTAGGGACATAACAGACTTCAGCTCAATGCCTGCTCACCAGAACCCTTAAATACTGTGTTTTTATGCCATCTAAGGGGTTTTCCCAGTGCGTAATCTCCCAGTAGATTAAATGGGGGGGGGAAATATAACAAATATTCAGAAAACATCCCAAAAACTGTGAGAATTTACTCTAATAAAGATAAAAGAAGTTGAAATAAATAACGCTTATGTAACACTGATTTAACGCTTAAATAACGTTTGTTTATTTAGGAGCCATTTGATACAGTTTATCAAATTTTTTGGTAAACGCGTTGTAAATTAAGTCTATCTGAAATGTAGGTTCTTTGCGTCGATCATGCAAGCACACACACACACACAAACTAACAATGGTTATCAAGTGTTTCTATGCAAGGTTACTTTAATCTAGTAAACAAATGGTTGTGTGTAGGCTGTGTAGCCTCTTAGATTTATCAGTTCGTGTTGGTGTTTGCGATAAGCACCTATTTTGTAAACAGATCCTCGTAACACTAATGAAGGATAAAGTAGGACTGGGCATCTAATAGAAATGTAAATTCAATTTCGGCTTCCAGTGGTTATTATAATAGAATAAGATGGAATAAAATTAATGCTTTTATCCATTATTTTTGCTGCAAAAAATTGATACAAGCATTAATAATACTGCAAAGTGTTGTTTTTTTCTTCCGTTATGAATCGAGGGCGTTCTTTTCCTTTGTAAGAGTCTAGTTTCGAAGGCTCGGCTGTCCCATTCAGGTCTCTGTCGTTTATCTTGTGGCCGCCGTGAAGTTTGCTGTTCACCAGCTCATCTCCCCGCACCTGCAGACATCCAGTGGTTGAATCTTCAGAACAGCAGTTGCCCTAACTCCCTACTGGATTTATGAATCCCTGTTAGATATTAACTAATCAAGATTACAACTTTAAATAACTAAGTGATCATGCCTTTTGTTGTAATCAAGCAGCCCTACTCTGAATAGAATATCACCTTTTTTTTTAAAATTTAAGCCCGTTTTTTACTTTACCACCTCTCTACAGCGATGTGCATCCCTAAGAACATTTTATATGAAATTTGAGTGCAGGCTCTCATTGACCACAATGTTGAGTATCCATTTAAAATGATGTAAAAGGACCCAAACAATGATAGGCACTCTGCAAAAGAAACCCAGTCGAGTAAACCTTTTTAGAAATACTCTTGAAGGTACAAGATCAACAGATACTTTGAATGCAGTCTTTTGTTATTGATTAACAAGAACATCTATCATGTTTTCAGGATTTTTTTTTTTAAAAATATCACAGTGATGAGTGTCAATAAAAAGCATGAGAGTAGTATAATAAAATACATAATAGCTGAAGCAAATAACATGCTTATAAATCACATTAGTGTGATCCAGAACAAAGAGAAAAATGGACTAAACTATCATAAGAAAGTATTTTTCTGATTGTCTTGGTTTTCTATGTGATCTTTAAAATGACGTTTTTTACTATCCACTTAGCACTTAGGTTTTAAGTGTCCTTCTTTGATATAAGTCAGAATAAAAACAACCTCTCAGCCTCACATTCCACCATAAAGCATGAATCTCATCCTCCCGTTGCCTTATCAGGAGTTGATGTTTTCTGTATTCTTTCCCAGGTTCGGAGAGTGCATCACCCATGCATTCACTCGGGGGCTCTCGTTCCCAGACTCCTTCTCCTGCCACTTTGACAGCAGAGCACACTGAGCACACGCATTCCCACTCCCACACCCATTTACAGCTGGACCAGAAACTCCACAACTCTGTCTTACAGACCCCCGATGACCTGGGTAATACTCAGAGGCATTCACTTTGAGATGCTTTTTCCTGTTCATACAAAGTGTAGTACTTTAATCATGTTTGTGAATATGAAATACTTTGTAGGATGACTCAGTCATGTTCTCATTGACTCATTAATTCCAGAAACGAGTGAGTTCCCCAGTGAGGACTGTAGCGTGATGGCGGGCGGCTCTCTGACCGGGTGGCACGCAGATGTTGCCACGGTAATGTGGCGAAGGATGCTGGGTATCCTGGGAGATGTGAACAGCATCAAGGACCCAGAAATCCACGCTCAGGTCTTTGACTACCTGTGTGAACTTTGGCAAAACCTGGCCAAGGTGAGAATTGAGACATACAGTGAACCCGCAACTCCTGTGTCAGTGAACATGTTCTCCAATGACGAGCTTTTCTGTTTGCAGATCAGGGATAATTTGGGCATTTCTCTGGATAACCAGTCGTCTCCTCCACCCCCTGTTCTGATCCCACCCCTGAGAATCCTCACCCCTTGGCTCTTTAAGGTATGTGTGATAGAGAGGTAACAATAAGGGTTATAACATAACATGTGTTTCAGTGTTAGTTAAGCAATCTTTTCTCTTTAGGCCACCATGCTGACAGAGCGTTACAAGCAGGGGAAACTTCACGCCTACAAGCTGATTTGTAGGATCATGAAGAGACGGCAAGACGTTTCACCAAACACAGACTATCTGACACACTTCTATAACATCATGCATCAAGGACTTCTCCACCAAGACCAGGTAGAGTGGTCTCAAATTTATACTTGAACATAATATATGAACAAACAGCATATTTTATATTTTACAGATTTCTTTAATCTTCTAGCTGTTAATAAAACATTTTTTAATGTTAAATACTCAAATCCAGCTCTTTAAGCACAGAGTAAGTGCAGGAAAGCAGGGAAATGGGGAGAAAAGATAGTCATGCAGGCAAACATGCTGTGCTACTGTGAATGCACCTTTGAAGCTAAATGTTTAAAAAAAAAAACCTGTATTACTTTTACAGGACATTGTGAACACCATCATCAAACACTGTAGTCCCAGGTTCTTTAGTATCGGTCTACCTGGAGCCACCATGCTGATCCTGGATTTCATCATCGCAGCTTCTAGAGTCACTGCCTGCTCATCACTCAATGTAAGAAATCCTCCCATTTGCAATGTTGGTTTCCAGCTTTACAGGAGCTGATTCTTTCATTCCTGTCCTCCTAACAAGTTTTATTTTCCAAAGGCTCCAAGAGTTGAAGCACAGATTCTTCTCGGATCTCTGGTGTGCTTTCCCAACTTTTACGGGGAGCTTCCTGCTCTCCACCCCACCACAGCTGACGTGGTACTTACCAAGTTCCCTGATGTCAAGGTACGCGAATGCCGATCATCATCTTCCACCTTACCTTATCCCTAGTATCCTCCCCTATCACAACAACTCTCTGCATGTCCTCCTTCACTACATCCATGAATCTTCTCTTAAGTCTTTTTCTTTTCCTCCTGCCTGGGAGCTCCATATTCAACTTCCTTTGTTCAGTAAATCCACTATCCCTCCTGTGCACATGTCCAAACTATCTCAACCTTAACCTTATCTCCAGCCTGAGCTGTCCTTCTAATGTATGTAAATGTAGTTTATGGAATATTTTCAGTAGCAGTGTATTTAGGTGGCTGAAATTATTCTTCACCAGAGGCTCCCCTTGTTTGGATAATAGGGAATTATAGCCATCCTAGCAGTTACAAATGCACAGAAAATTCTTCTTTTTTAATCTTGCAGCATCCTTTCTGCAAATGATATGCAGCACAGCCTGGTTCAGTGTATTCACAGTGGATAAACTGTTCATCATACCTCATATGCACTTCTCTGGGAGAGTATTACAATACACCGCAATAAAATATTGAGAAAATATTTTTTTTTTTTAAAAGAAATTACTTTAATCTTCCTGTAAGTTCGGGGAAAAGCAGGACAATACAGTTAAACTGACAGGTCTGAAAATGTGTTAGTTTTTTTTTTTTTTCCAACTCACACATCAAAAGCTCAAAAAGTTTATCTACATTGTTTGTAATCCAGGTCAGTTCAAACATCGACTGTCCATAGGGGATCTCGAAAGCAAACTAATAGGCTAATGTCTCATCAACCATTCTTGTTTGAGCTAAGGGCGATGGGAGTGATGTTGTTATTGTTGTTGGTGCCATGTAAACTGCTAATGCCATGCGTGGCAGCGCCTCAGGCTCACTCACTGCTTTCTTATGTGGCAGAAGCTTGTTTTGAATCACTAAGCGGTCATTAACACTGACCAGAGGGACAAGACCAGGGAGTGTGTGAACGTGTCTGGGGTGTGTGTTGACCTGTTTAAACTGTGACTATGTGTCCATATTTAGTCCAGCATATCTGTCTACGATATGCATTAACACCACACGGTGTAGTTCCTTGAATCTGTTTCCTGTTTGTCTGACTGGGAACTATTAAGCTTGTCCTCATTTTCTGACATATAAATAGTGTTGAAATGATGGATGCTCATATCAAACATTGCCAAATAATGAGGTTAGCTTAAAGGGAGGGGGAAATTAACTAAAATGGCTTGTTTCAGATACTGGACAAACTCAAGGACTACATCGAGGCCTTGTGTAAGATGGAGAAGGATTATTTTGAACAGTGAATCATGCAAAGCTACTCTAATAGGTCCATTTTAAGGATGCAGTCTGTTTATTATTTATTATACACACCTTTAAGGGCTACTCAATTATGGCAAAAATCATAATCCCAATTATTATCATCATCAGTATTTTGATCTGAGTTCTGTAACAAGACTTTTTATATTAATGCCTATAATAACAATACTAGTGGTCAGCTGATATATTGCTATTGAAAACTCATGTGCTGTATGTTTTTGTTTTTTTCTTTTTTTCTTTTTTTAAGGAGCATATCGTCAAAACCATCCTGACCTCTGCCAGGGATGAACCCTCTGCTCCTGCTAGGTAAAGGGTTTATAAAGTTTATTTATTTATTTTATTTATTTATTTATTTTTTACAGTGTTGCGCAGGTGCCCCAGGTTACCTAAAGTTATCATTTGTTAATAAATTCCTTAAGTATGTAACCACATCTGTTTGTGCTCACCGTTGGCGAGTATTTCTTTATTTTATGCTGGTTCCTGTGTGTAAAATTAATATATGCAGTGATTCCGATAAACTGCATTTATACAGGGAGTGCAGAATTATTAGGCAAATGAGTATTTTGTCCACATCATCCTCTTCATGCATGTTGTCTTACTCCAAGCTGTATAGGCTTAAAAGCCTACTACCAATTAAGCATATTAGGTGATGTGCATCTCTGTAATGAGAAGGGGTGTGGTCTAATGACATCAACACCCTATATTAGGTGTGCATAATTATTAGGCAACGTCCTTTCCTTTGGCAAAATGGGTCAAAAGAAGGACTTGACAGGCTCAGAAAAGTCAAAAATAGTGAGATATCTTGCAGAGGGATGCAGCACTCTCAAAATTGCAAAGCTTCTGAAGCGTGATCATCGAACAATCAAGCGTTTCATTCAAAATAGTCAACAGGGTCGCAAGAAGCGTGTGGAAAAACCAAGGCGCAAAATAACTGCCCATGAACTGAGAAAAGTCAAGCGTGCAGCTGCCAAGATGCCACTTGCCACCAGTTTGGCCATATTTCAGAGCTGCAACATCACTGGAGTGCCCAAAAGCACAAGGTGTGCAATACTCAGAGACATGGCCAAGGTAAGAAAGGCTGAAAGACGACCACCACTGAACAAGACACACAAGCTGAAACGTCAAGACTGGGCCAAGAAATATCTCAAGACTGATTTTTCTAAGGTTTTATGGACTGATGAAATGAGAGTGAGTCTTGATGGGCCAGATGGATGGGCCCGTGGCTGGATTGGTAAAGGGCAGAGAGCTCCAGTCCGACTCAGACGCCAGCAAGGTGGAGGTGGAGTACTGGTTTGGGCTGGTATCATCAAAGATGAGCTTGTGGGGCCTTTTCGGGTCGAGGATGGAGTCAAGCTCAACTCCCAGTCCTACTGCCAGTTTCTGGAAGACACCTTCTTCAAGCAGTGGTACAGGAAGAAGTCTGCATCCTTCAAGAAAAACATGATTTTCATGCAGGACAATGCTCCATCACACGCGTCCAAGTACTCCACAGCGTGGCTGGCAAGAAAGGGTATAAAAGAAGAAAAACTAATGACATGGCCTCCTTGTTCACCTGATCTGAACCCCATTGAGAACCTGTGGTCCATCATCAAATGTGAGATTTACAAGGAGGGAAAACAGTACACCTCTCTGAACAGTGTCTGGGAGGCTGTGGTTGCTGCTGCACGCAATGTTGATGGTGAACAGATCAAAACACTGACAGAATCCATGGATGGCAGGCTTTTGAGTGTCCTTGCAAAGAAAGGTGGCTATATTGGTCGCTGATTTGGTTTTGTCTTGTTTTTGAATGTCAGAAATGTATATTTGTGAATGTGGAGATGTTATACTGGTTTCACTGGTAAAAATCAATAATTGAAATGGGTATATATTTGTTTTTTGTTAAGTTGCCTAATAATTATGCACAGTAATAGTCACCTGCACACACAGATATCCTCCTAAAATAGCTAAAACTAAAAACAAACTAAAAACTACTTCCAAAAACATTCAGCTTTGATATTAATGAGTTTTTTGGGTTCATTGAGAACATGGTTGTTGTTCAATAATAACATTATTCCTCAAAAATACAACTTGCCTAATAATTCTGCACTCCCTGTAGAGGCCTTTATTGCAAAACTGCTTGCTCACACTGTGCTGTTTTTTGTTAGGTGTGTGGCTTTGTGCAGTCTGGGGATATGGCTGTGTGAGGAGCTGGCCCACGGGACTCAACATCCACAGATTAAAGATGCTCTCAATGTGATCTGTGTTACCTTGAAGGTCAGTTACACCTCAGTACATCTATAAATGGCAATTAAGTTCTGTTCAGCTGGACTTCCAAAAAGCAACCTAAATTTTATATTTGAACTGTGACTCATTAAGACTGAAATGTCAGACCAGTCTGATCGCATTATGAGTTGTGTTATAGTTGTCTGTTCTCACACTTTGTCCCCATTGACCATGGATCTCTCAGTTTCTGACTGTGGTCCAGTGAAATAAGACCAAAGCAGTGACTCTGATTCAAAGACATAGCAGACTGGCCGCATGTTGCACAGATCTGCTCAACACACTAGTGCCAAAACATCTGCTCCTTTTTAGGCTGAAAGTCTATCATACTGTTTCCATGAGGCAAGCCATGGTATAGTGCAGACCACTTACATAGACAAATAAATTTAATGTAGTGTATGAGAGAACGTACGTCTGTTCTTTATCCTTTTCTTTCTTTTTTTTTTAAGACAGACACATTTTCAATGATCCCTTCTCTACATCTGAATGTGAATCCTATTTAATACTTTGTGAACCCTGAAAATGATTGGCTGCAGCCGGATTGCCAATCCAAACTATAGAACTGGTATCTTTGTTGATATATTCCTGTTGTTGTTAAGATAGCCTTTGATAGGAAACTCCTATGTAAAATCCTGTAAAATGTGTCGGTTATAAAAATTAAAGGGTCGCTGTCATCATGCCTCTCACTCCTCTCTGTTCTATACCCTTCCCACTAGACAAGTATGGATACATGAGTGTACTTCATTAAAGAGAATAAAAATTAGCAACAAAGACACATAAACATAGAGACCAGTTAGCGAGGCCCTGGTGAGAATGTGTATTCCCATGGAGGTTGTTGGCAGTCGCTGTGAGATGATTGCAAAGAGGTTGCAAACTAGTGGCTGAGTGGCAATAAAACTGCAATGGAAACTAGAAATTAAGTACCTTCGCTTTCAAAGTAAAAATGTGTCTTACCACTGCAACTGACACGTTTCAAGAGAAGCAACACTTTTTTTTTGCCAACTGTGGATGCAGGGATCTCTATTCCTGCATGACTGTTTCTTTATCAGTTGATTTTAAGGTAGCCATGTTAACCTGTGCAAGATTTTTTTTCAGTCTGATTAAAATTCACTGTAGATCTTCACTAAATAAGGTAATCGTTTTGACATTGACAGAATTATCTAACTTTTAAGAATTGGCGGAAGTTGATTTCTGATGTAAACAAACATCGCTTTCTGGGTTTTTTCTTTAGTGTCACCTTGCTGTGTGCCACAGATTTCAATTTCTCCCTTCTTACTTACTTTTGTGACTTCACGTGAAGGTTAACACATGCACCTCTAATGAGCCTTAAGACTCCTTTTACTCGACATCTAAAAATAGTTCTGGGTATTCTAATTTATTAGAATCAGGGGAATTTATTTGGGGCGATCGTGGCTCAAGAGTTGGGAGTTCGTCTTGTAATCGGAAGGTTGCCGGTTCGAGCCCCGGCTCCGACAGTCTCGGTAGTTGTGTCCTTGGGCAAGACACTTCACCCGTTGCCTACTGGTGGTGGTCAGAGGGCCCGGTGGCGCCAGTGTCTGGCAGCCTCGCCTCTGTCGCCCCAGGGCAGCTGTGGCTACAATGTAGCTTGCCATCACCAGTGTGTGAATGTGTGGATGACTGAATATAGTGTAAAGCGTTTTGGGTTCCTTAAGGGACTAAGTAAAGCACTATACAAATAAAAGGTTATAATGCATTTTTGTCCAATGCCAGAAACATGTTGCATACCACAGCTTTAAATTCAGAGTTATAGATAAGGTAAGCAGACCAAAGTATAGAGTTAATACTGGAGGATTAGATGGAGGGTGTGTTTAACATGTTGTCCTTTGAGCAGCCAAAGTACGATGGAAAACGCTGTTGGAGATGAGTGTTGGTGAAATTTCCGTAGTGGGCTTAGTGTGTTTCAGACTGGGAGGCCTGTGGATCACAATAATACGGCCCAACATTTACTGTCATCTAAAGCCAAACACACACACTCACACACACATACCTTTTCCACCTTGGAATCCCTTGCTCGTGTATCGGCAGCCAACGACCCATCACTCACTCACACACACACACACACACACACACACACTCACACTCACACTCGCATTCACTCACTCCTGGGAGCAAACCCTGGACTGTCAATATGTTTGGTCCTTCTTCAGATAGGAGACTAATCCAGAGGGAATGCTGCAAGCTGTGTCTCTCGCACACACACACTATTGCATGTATACACACATCTTGTCCACTTTTGAATCTCTTGCCTTCATACCAGCAGCCAGTAGCTCCAGCCATTGGCTTTGTGACACACACACACACACACACACACACACACACACACACACACACACACACACACACACACACACACACACACACAAAGCTTGAGGGATTGTCATATTTCCATGCTCTTCCTGCTGTTCTCTTTGCCTTTCATCTGTAAGCATTTTTTGCCTTGTCGTCCGTGATCCTCATTACAGCCCGACTAATCTGTAAATTCTCTTTCTCTGTACTTATTATGCTGTAAACACCTTGTTAACCTTAAACAAGTATAGCAAATACTATCTGTGGGATTTCAGCACGGATAACTGATGTGTTAGTTGTGACAGATAAGATATGGTACCTGCCAGTATTAATTTGAACAGTGCCAATATGTGAAGGAGAATGTGTGTTTTTAGACTGGCAGGCAACTCAAAGAGAAGCTTTAGAGATAATAAAAATAGATGATTTATTATATGATATTTAGACTAATAATTTACTGACTTCATATCATTTTTTTATATTTTATATTTTTGTTGACTAATTTAAGCCAAAGTTTTAATAGCTTAGAAAAAATGTGCAAGCTACTTGTTTAATCCTTCTAACGGTCCTGTGGAACCATTCATCCTCTTTCCTGGACATGTTCACTTCCTAGAGAGAAGGTTCAAAATAATTTGGCCTGAAATAGGATTTGGTATTAACAAGCAACCTCATTATGGCTTTGTGAAATACAAGACGTGCCAGTGACAGATGTTTGATAACTGATACAGATGGATTTTGCTAAAAATGAATGTGTGTATGAATTTAACCCAGACCGGTGAATTAACATCAATGTTTTTTCTCCTCTGTCCCTCAGTACCCCAATAAGAGTGTAGCGCTGGTGGCGTCAGACATCCTGCACCTTCTGATCAGTTACGTTGATCATCTGCAGAAATTCCCACCCGACACTCCAAAGAAGATCGTAGAGGTGAGACATAAAATACAGAGAACATTTGAGCAACATTAATATTTTAATATTTCTGAATATTGGTTAAGACCGCTATTGCTTTGCTATAACATCGTAATGACTGAAGTCATGCTGTGTAAAGCCAAGGCCTCACAGTGCTGGTAGACATTAACAAATTTTTTATAGAGGTTTTAAAAACTGTGGCTGAGGGATTTATGCTCATTTTAATCTTACTCTCTTCTTTCAGATTTTGATTGCCACCATCACATACTTGCTGCCTACTACTGAGTCTTCACCTCATGAACTGGATAAAAGGGTAAGCTGCTCACATTCACTTAACAACACTTTTTTAAAAACTCACTGGATTGTTAGTTTTTAAAAATTGTACTTGTGTGTTGCAGCTGGTAGTTTCCCTCCTGTTGTGTCTGTTGGATTGGGTGATGGCACTGCCTCCAAAGACTCTTCTTCAGCCTGTGCAAACACGAAGCCCCCCAGAGAGGGACCAGCCTACCAAAACGCTCCTCAGCTGTATTTATAAGGTATATGCTTGTGTTTATATTCACTGTCATATGCAGTAGCGGTTTTAGATACGGGTGACACGGGCGGTATCGTGGTGGGGGGGCGGCATCACGGGCCTCTGCAAAAAAAATAAAAATAAAAATAAAATGCTCGTACTCATGCTGCTCCAACGTCAGCCAGCGCATATTGGGAATGGTACAGGCACCGATCGGTTTTCTATCGCCCATTTGCTGGGAGTAAGGACACCCTTCGTTTGCGAGGTGCGCCTGCTGCTTGCGGCGCAGAGAGGAGAGGGCGGGGGATTTTCTGACCGGCTGGAGCAGCATCTAATAACCAACTCGCAAAGTAAACAAAATAAAAACAAACCAACAAACACGAAAACACCAGACATCATGATACAGACTTATAATTTGCTCGGTGCACCTTCTCGCTGCTGAAGTCGAAGTAAACTTTATTGTCATCTCTGCTACATACAGTCCAGTACATAGAGAGACGAAACGACGAGGCTCCAGTTACAGCAGTGCAAGTAAACAAACAATATATATAAGAAGAGTAAGAAAATAAATATACACTTTAGGACTGGGGGTAAAGGGATCAATAACAATTTAAAATTTACAAATAGGCTAGGACCGCCACTGCATATATGTCAGTATTAGGCCAGTTTGGCTCAACTGGAGCTGTAAACGATACACAAATGAATCCACTCATCTGCTTTTTTCTTTTAAAAATGTGTCCAGGTATTACATGGCTGTGTGTATGGGGCACAGTCTTTCAGCAATCCCAAGTATTTCCCGCTGCAACTGTCGGACCTGTTGAGTCCAGACTACGACCCGTTCTTGCCTTTAGAGAACCTCCGAGAACCAGAACCGCTACACAGTCCGGACTCTGAGCGATCCAGCAAACTGCAGCCAGTCACCGAAGGTAATGCATCAAGCAGTGGAAATGCACTGCTCCGCGATTAACACCTATTACGTTTCTGTTTTTTCCTCTTGTCGCTTTAATAATCCATGCAATGTGGTGCGTTGGTCCAGATGCATATAGAAAATCTTTACACTATGACACCAAGGTCTCTGCAAAACTTTTGGTTTAGTCTTTACATGTGTACACACCTGTCTGCATCTGTGTCGGAGTATATATCATCTCCTGCTGTGGTTCACTAGGACTCTGTCTAGTTTAATGACTGGAGTAGCCCGAAAGGCCATGCTTCTCTTCTCCTGTCTTCTCTCGTCTAACCACTAATCTTCACTTACACAATTCCGTTTTTTATTCTTTTAATATCCTAAGACTATTTTCTGCTAATGTTCCTCTCACTTCTATTACATTCTGCTGGCTTCATTTATCATTTATTTTTGCTTCCCTTTGCCTTGTCTGCCTCTTTTAGAGCACCCTACGAGGTTCAGGGAGTCATTGAAAATCTGGTCAATACATATCTGTACTCTGTGCACAGCCTGTCAATAAGGAGTTGCCGTAAAGCGTGCGCGCGTGTGTGTTTCACAGTGTGTGTGTAATGATGTTGATTAACCAGGATCGGCTGGCAGCACAATGTGTGATGGCATTGGCTTCTTCTCAGCATGGTGCAAACTATGTACGAGCTGAAAGTGTGCTTGTACTTTCTCCTAGTTTCTACAGTGATTCCTTAAGTTAACTTGTAAACTAAAGAACAAGTCAGAGTACCCTTCACACTTTTTCTGTCACTGTGAAACTCCAGGTTTAAAACTTTTGTTGTTTATTTTATCGGTGGATGCTACTCGCCTCTCTGCAGTAACACTCCAGTCCAATCAGCCCTACAGAAGGCTGCAATGCAGAAGAATTACTTTGCTAAACCTCTGCTAAAAGATAATGAGAGAAAATTAGTTTATTTTTATTCAATCAGCGCACATTAATCAGAGAGTAAACAGTAGATATAAAGCCTGCTGTGTGTGTAATGAATAGAGACTGAAGAGGGTCAGCCAAAGGCAACACTCTCTGCAAAGTGATTAAAGTTTATTTATATAGTGCTTTTCACAGACAAGCCCCAAAAATGCTTAAAACACAATTGATATGAAAATAGAATTAAAATAAACATAAATAACAAAACAATTTCAGCAGAAGGCCTGAAAAAATGTTTTGTTTTAAAGACTCTACAGAGTCAGCTTAACAGAGCTGGAGTGGCAAACTGATCCAGAGCCCTGCTGCCACAGCCTGAAAGCCTCTGTGCCCCTCTAGTCTTCAGTCTTGTATGAGGAACAGAAACAAGCATGAACTCTTCTAAACATCAATAAAATCTATCTTTTGACAACCAAAAGCTAAATATATATTTTTATATTTATATCAGCACCGATCCATAATTAACCCTTATAACAGAAATATATCTTTAAGCTTTTTGTACATCATCTGGGATGGACTTTGTTCTTGCTTTAATATTTTATTTTATTTTCTTATTTTAAAATGAGCTAAATTTTTGTATATATTTTTTATATTATATTCTCTAAAGAACATTGGATCAGTGTTCTCACAGTAAACAGCCTTACTTGTTTCTCATTTTAAGTAATAAAACTATTCAATGTATTGTTGTTTTAATGGTTCATCTCTAAATGTATTAAAGTGTAACAGCAATGAATTATATTTGTATTAATGGTATATGCATTGACTTACATTTAATAGAATTTCTAATTACTAATACTCAGTGTGTTGTTTCTGCGATGATACCAAGCAGTTTCTTTATGATTTCCAAAAACCATAAATATAATTCGGCATTGCTATTGCTTAACCCCCCCACCCCACCTGCTGCCGCTTCCCTTTAAATTTTCTCCAGAGCAATAACACCTTTGTCTTACAGTTTACTTTCTAAATCCTGACAGTCCAATCCCTTATTTTTATTTTTCATTATAGGTGATGAAATGACGATCTGCTACCTCCTTACTATATCTTTTATCATCTGTATTCTCTCTGCAGTTCGTAGCCGTATTCAGCATGGCCTCGTCTCCATTGCAGCCAGAACAGTTATTACCCACCTGGTAAACCATCTGGGACATTATCCCATGTCCGGAGGCCCCGCTACTCTGTCCAGTCAGGTACTGTTACTTTGAGTTTGGTGGGTTAACGAAGTTATGTTAAAGGGAGGTGACTCTGCGAAATGTTGAAAGCTGTTGTTATTTTACTGCTGTAGTAAATATAACGTTTTGCAGGTGTGTGAAAACCAGGACAACCCGTTCTGTGAGAGTGCAGATCTTGGGCCAGAACTTTTCCATTCACCAAACCTGCAGTTCCTGGTTCTGAATGGATCCACGCTGCTGTCTGTGCTTCAGGTAAATCTTCATAAATGTTCCACTTGCTTCTAAGTGTATTTGTCAGGGTTAAACGTACATGAATTTATTACTTGAATAATTACTTTTACACCTGGAATACAAATGATGACTACTGCATTTATTATATTATTAACACATTAGTGGGGAAACAATCTTTAAATAATATAAAATATTTATTTTGTGATTTCTTTACTATTTTATTTTATTTTTTGCTTCTTCTGCCGCTATTTCCCAGATCCGATCAGAGTCCGGTGTGCCAGGAGGCGGAATGACGGCTGGTTTGTCCTCTGCTCCCGCTTGTGTTCGCGTCATCATCCGAGATGTAGCTGGAAAACACTCGTGGGACTCCGCCGTCCTCTATGGGCCTCCGCCATGTTCTCCTAACAGTCCAGCGCACACACTTTTAACACACACGCAGTCACCTCACACTACAAATCTTCATTTACGCACCCCACCAGGAGGTCTGCTGAAAAAGATGGGAGCGAAAAGAGAAGATGGCGAAGAGGACGGGCAAGAGGAGAGGGGGGCAGAGGAGGGAGTGAGAACGGATGGTGACAGGCAGGAGTATCAGGGAGAGGGAGAGGAGGAAGCAGAGGAGAGGAAAGCAAGTGAGGGGGAGAAAGAAGATCAGAGAGATGGTGGAGGTGGATTTGAAAGGGAAGAAGAAGAGGAGGAGGAGGAGAAAGATGAACATCGAATGGATAGTGAGGCAGATCCAGCAAAGTCGAGTTTAGAGCAGCATCTGGCTCCGCCATTGGCTAAACGCGTGTGTCGGGAGGCGGTGCCAGCGTGGGACTCACTGAGAGAAGGAGATGATGCACTGGATGAAATGCTGCAGTATCTGGGATACTCGAGTCCTGAGTGTCTGCAGAGAGCTGGTATTTTCTTTAATCTGAACTCTACAGCTGTTCAGCACATTCCTAAGTAGCAACTCTGATTCCTGATTGGTTCCCACAGGTATGCCGCTCAACATCCCAGCACCACCTCCAGTGTGTGTTTCAGAGAAGCAGGAGAACGATGTGATCAATGCCATCCTGAAACAAAGTGCTGCTGAGAGAGACTTCGTCCTTCATGTGCGTGCTGCCTATGTTCACATCAATAGCAATCATTAAACTCCCGAGCCTTTAGTTATTGGACCTTCACACATGCAGTACAGCATGTGTTTCCCTATGTGGGGATTTATTACAGTTCTATCGTCAGACTTGTTTTAAGAGTTATTGTTTGTTTTGTTTTTTTCAGCCATTGCTAATATATGTCATGATTTTTCTGTTAAAATAAGTCAACGTGTCTATTGTAGAAAAAGCTTTGTTGTCCCTACTGCACAGAATCAAAGGAACATGCCTCCTAAACACAGAGAAGCTAACTCATAATACCAAAACTGTTGTTTATTTTATCAGTGAATCCAGCATTTCTGAAGGAAAAAAGTTCATCTACACTCACTGGTAAATTTGCTAGTTACACCTTGCTAATGCCACAGAGGGCTCCCCAATTTTGCATTTAGAGCAACCCTAATTCTTCATGGCATAGATTCAACAAGGTGCTGGAATCATTCTTCAAAGATTTTTTTTCCATGTTAACATGATGGCATCACCCAGGTGTGTCAGCTGCACATCCTGTGATGTGAGTCTCCTGTTCCATTGCATCCCAATGCTTCTCTTTTGGTTTGAGAGCTGATGACTGTGAAGGCTATTTGAGTACACTGACTCTTTGTCATGTTCCAAAAAAAAAAAAACTTATTTGAGGTGATATGAGGTTTCTGACATGATATGTTATCCTTCTGGAGATGGGTACACTGTAGTCATATAGAGATGGGCATGTCAGCCTGTCAGTAATACTCAGATCGGCTGTGGCATTTAAATGATGTTCAGTTGGTATTTATGGGCCCAAAGAAATCTTATGCCACACACCATTACACCAGCAGCCTGACCAGTGATAAAAAAAACAGAATAGCCTTCACGTTTACACCAAATCCTGGATCTACCATTGTTATGTCACAGCAGAAATTGAGACTCATCAAACCAGAAAATGTTTCTCTAATCTTTTGTTATACAGCTTTGTGGTATTGTGGTATCATTTTCCTGTTCTTAGCTGACAGGAGTGTCTCTCAGTGTGGTCTTCTAGTTATGGGTGTCTGAGAAAATCCCAGCAGATCAGCACTTTCTGAAATATCCAGACCATCTGACACCAACAACCACTTAAATCATCTTTGCTCTGAATTATGATGCTCAGTTTGAGCTTCAGCAGGTCATATGACCATGTTTATGCCTGAATGCACCGAGTTGCTGCCATGGGATTGTTGATTAGGTATTTGTATTAACAAGCAGCTGAACAGGTGTACCTAACAAAGTGGCCAGTGAGTGTATTAAAATTGATTTTACATCATTCTGATTTGAAAATAATCTGAGAAAAACACTTGGTTTAGTGTAGCGTGATTAAAAGCACCACCATTATGTTTGTTGTCATAAGCCTCAGTGGTGGCTGGCGCTCATTGTTGTATTTTCCATGTTTTATTTAATTTTTTGGTTTTTGTGCATTAAAATGAAGCGATCGAATGTTTCAGAGAGGTGAGGAGCTGAACATGAGAGCCGTGCATCAGACTGAACCAGAGACTCAGACGCCACAGTCGGCCTTCTATTACTGCAGACTACTGATCAACATACTGGGGCTCAACTCCTGGGAGAAGAGGTAAGATCGAGCACTGCACGCTGTGACAATCCGAAATTAAACTGGAATTTTGGGTTAATGATATTTATGTTCGCTTTTTATCAACAGTATTTGTGCCACTTCTAAACTTTATGTTAATGATCACTTTAAAAGGGATTATTAAGGCTGTGTAATGTACCTCTGTTTTTAAGATGAGTTGTGGTCCACAGGGTAATATCTAAATGTTCAGTTAAAATTCAAATACAAAAGAAAACCTGGATAATCCTCATTTCTAAAATATAAAATGGCCCAAATTTAAAACGGACCTAATGTTTTAAACATTATGACCCAAAATAAGCAGCATAAACTTGTTTGGAAAGTATTTACAGAGGTTAGAGTCAGGAGATAATTTCCCAATGACTTCTTTAGGACCAGAAGTATTTTTGCAGCCACGGCTATCGCCCCCTGGAGACGATTAAAAAGAATGCAGGCTTCAGGAACTTCTCATTAGCTTATTTTCAGCCTGCCTTGTTAAAGACTTTTAAAACTGTCATTTTAACATCAGAGTTAATGTGGATTAAATGGCCAGTAGGGAAACTGCAGTTTTTAGCTTTGTGTTTTAATCCTGGTTGAAACACAACAGTCACAGCACACAGTAGTCGCATTAAAATTCTACTACAGTAAAAATATTTGTCAGTGTATGGTGGTGACTTTGAAAAGAGGTGATTTCTTTTATCGTTTCTACAACGCAGCGGACTTTACCAACTGTTGCTAGATGTGTAAGTGCAACATAGTTATTATATGGTACCGTCACAAAGGCTTTACTAAAAAATATAACACACAATCACACTATATTGATATAAACAACCTTGTTGCATCCCGTATCTCATGAAAATATATCTATAGCCCTTAGATAATGTTACTCCAAATGAGTTTTAGTTTTTAACATGGATATTTTTTTTACTCTCTAGTTTAATTTTATGAATATATTATTCTTTCCATTAAGACACGATGGTTTATTCTGTCATTTAAAAGCCATAAAACATCATTTTTGTACAAGCTATACTAACTAAGAGGCTGTTTTCGATCTGGAGTGTCTCTTTGAGCAAAGCATATTCTTGCTTAATGCAAATGAAACAAAAAAAGATTCAAATTCAACAGCGTGCCCTTTTTTTTTCTTTTTTCATTACACTTCACATTTTGCCATTCATAATGCACAGCATTTCATCTTCTCAGTGACTCTGGGCTAAAATACACAATGTCGGGGTATCACTTTAAAAGTGCCCAGCCATCTAATGGACCCTCATCGCTCTTTATACTTTATCCAGGGAATTACACTTTCTGCATTCAGCCTGCACAATAGACTTCTTAACACACTGTGCTTGTGTGTGAGTGTGTGTGTATAAAGAGTGTGTGATAATGAGTATAGTGCTCTATTGATCAAATTCAACCCATTTGGAGTTAGAATAAAAGAAGAGGAGAGAATGATCGAGCGTGAAGTGGCAAATCAGAAAACAGGATGAAATGAGGCACATGTAAATGTAGACAGTAAATTTAAAAAAAAATGACATGGTGCCAGAAAAGGTGAGTGGATTTGGAAGGTAAAAATGAGAAATTTGGATGTTGGAGAAAAGGGAGAATAGACGGACAAGGATGAAAGAAAAGAAGAGATTGTCTAATCATGTGTTATTGTCTCTCCAGGTATTCATATGGGGCATTACAGATACTAAGATACTGACAGTCACCTACGTGCGTGCATGTGTGTGTCCCCTTTTATGCTTTTCCCTATAATCCAGGGTGTAAATGGAGTCTTTGAGAGCAGAGAATGAGGCCATTACCAAGTATCAGTTTAATAAAGACCAAATTGCTGTCCCCCTCTCGTTCTCTCTCTCTCTTTATCTCCTGCTCTTTCTATCCCGTTTTTCCCCTTTCTCTAAGAGTGAAAAGAGTGACGTGTCATTATCAGTCCACTCCAAGCTTCACCGCTCGAGTCTAGGTTTTATATCAGCGGTGCAGAGGTTGGGGGCTGGTCGCTGGGACACTTTGAACGGCCTCAGGACAAGTTAGTCTGCATGAAAGGCTTTTGTTTTCATTAATAATAATGTCCCTTTTCTTTTATGTTTGGACCCTGAAAGTGGCGTCGACATAAACTGCAGGCCCTGTGATGTGTGGCTGCATTTGCTCATTTATATTAAAACCCAGTAATCTGTATTTGTAAGGCCAGAGTTGAGGCAGCAGCTTCAGAAACCCAGCACCTCCCCTGCCTCTTACACACATTTTGTTTTATATTGAGAACAAAACATAGTAAAAATTGGACTGCAAATACCCCCTGAAGCCATTTTAGACAGACCTACAGGAAAACCAACATGCTATCCTTGAAAAAATAGTTGCTTCACAAGTCCATCTTCACCTAACTGATAATAACCTTTATGAACAGTTCCAGTCTGGCTTTCGTCCTCTACATAGCACTGAAACTGCTCTTATAAAAATAACAAACGACCTTCTTATAGCAGCTGATTCTGGTCTCCTCTCCATCCTTATCCTTCTTGATCTGAGTGCAGCTTTTGACACCATCTCTCATCCCATTCTCCTTAGCAGATTAGCTTCTATTGGTCTCTCTCACACTCCACTAGCCTGGTTTAAATCATACCTATCTGACCGCACTCAGTTCATTCAATTAAAATCCTTCACTTCTCAGCTTTCTCCTTTATCCACTGGGGTGCCCCAGGGATCTGTCCTCGGGCCCCTTCTTTTCATCATCTACCTTCTTCCACTCGGACATATTTTTCGTAAATATAATATTCAGTTCCACTGCTACGCCGATGACACCCAGCTCTATCTCTCTACCAAACCTGACTCTACTCTTCCTCCACCCTCCCTCATCCTCTGTCTAGCTGAACTTAATTCTTGGTTCTCCTCCAACTTTCTTAAACTCAACAGCAATAAATCGGAACTTCTTCTGGTTGGCACTAAACGACTGCTATCCAGAATTAACAATTTCTCTCTCACCATCAATAACTCGCTGGTCCCTATCTCTCCCTCTGTGAAAAGCTTGGGTGTCATTCTCGATAGCACATTATCCTTTAACTCACATATCAATAATATTACACGTGCAGCATATTTCCAACTCCGTAACATTAATCGCCTCCGCCCCTTCCTCACACCTCACGCCACTGCCATTCTCATCCATAATCTTGTTATCTCTAGAATTGACTACTGCAACTCATTATTATTTGGCCTCACACAAAAATCTATCAACAAGCTCCAACGTGTCCAGAACTCTGCTGCCCGTATTATTACTAGGACTTCTTCTACCCACCACATCTCCCCAATCCTGAAGCAACTTCACTGGCTCCCGGTCAAATTTCGCATCCATTTTAAAATAATTCTGTATACATTCAAGGCTATTCATTCTCTCTCTCCACCGTACCTCTCTGACTTATTACAGATGAAGCTCCCATCCCGCTGCCTCAGATCTTCATCTTCTCTTTCTCTCTCTGTTCCCTCTGCTCGTCTGATCACAATGGGAGGGAGGGCCTTTAGCTGCTCTGCCCCTCGACTTTGGAATTCCCTACCCCCGGACCTCAGAAATATTAGTTCATTCTCTCTTTTTAAGTCCACCCTCAAAACTCATCTGTTTAAAATTGCCTATTCTTAAATTTCTGTATGTTTTAACTTTTATCTTCTATTTTTACCATTGTGTATATTTCCAGTTTTTATCTGTTGTACAGTGTCCTTGGGTGCTTTGAAAGGCGCTATTTAAATAAAATGTATTATTATTATTATTATTATGTGATTGTGTTTAGTAGTAGCAATTACTGGACAACCACAGCTGTCAACAACAGCTGGTAACCCCCAGCCCACGTTAAAATGATTTAGAGGACCCAAACAGATTAGCCACAAGGGACTGAATGTTAAAATCCTTCTTTAAAATCTGGGTTGTGGTAATTTATGGGTGATCTGTCAGTGTGCGTCTTCCTCAGTCTCCACTCCTCCTCTCTATAGTCTTGTATTAAAATGAGGTTTTTTTTCCTCAAGCGCTGAGTTTGTGGATCTAGAAGAAGCATGTTATAGGGTGTCAATAGAAGAACTGTGGTACTGCATGGGGAAGTCAAAAGTGACAGATGTGAGGCTAGTGCAGGACATTTACTGCATAGTTAAAGGCTAAAAGGTCCATTCAGAGGCAAGAAGTGATCAGGGACTATGTTTAAAGATACCTATAATTCCTAAATAGATCATGCAGTGCAACAGGTAATATTGTTAAACTCCTTGAATTAAAGCTAAAAGTCTCCATTTCAGTCTCACCTTGATTGTTTGATTATTATTATTTTTAAATCCCCTTCAATAGTATGATAGTATGGTCCAAAATGAGGGGGAAAAACAACATTGTCATGCTTTAAACCCTTGTGGACTTTAAACAGCACTTCTTATTTTGCCATTGTGTGAGGGTGACAAAAACCTGCAACCAGCTAATTAGTAGAGACAGGAGTGACAGCCGGGCAGTGATCAGGCAGTTCAATCTTAATGATGATTAATGGTTCCTGACTTGTGCACTTCTGTCTTACAGGAGTAGTTTTCACTTGCTGAGGAAGAATGAGAAATTACTGAGAGAGCTGAAGAACCTGGATTCACGGCAGTGGTGAGGAGCCTGGAAAAAATCCATCTTTTCTGTTCATTCAGCTTTTTGTCGGATCATACTTTGAACCGGTTTGGTGTTGCAGCTTTAATAGGTTCTCATCTGTTTTGTTTTGTTTTTTCTTCATTCTCTTCCAGCCGTGAAACCCATAAAATTGCAGTATTTTACGTGGCTGAAGGCCAAGAGGACAAACACTCCATACTGACTAACACAGCTGGCAGCCAGGCATATGAGGACTTTGTTTCTGGACTGGGGTGGGAGGTGAGAACACATTTATACATATATTACTTATCATTATTATGGATTTAGCATTATCAGGACCATTTCAAAGTAATGAAAACCTAAACAGTCACCTGTATGTTTTATTCTTTTTAGCAGTGTGTGATGAAGCAAAACACATAATTAATGCAATAACAGTAATATTTCAGCCTATGAAACCAAATACTGTGAATTCTGCTTAAGTCATCTTTAGTGAATACATGTACTCTAAGGTTTAATATGATCAGCTTTGGCACACAGCTGTGGCCCACCTTGTTCAAACCTTCTGTTTGTGAATGGCAGCCAATCAGGAGGATGCCAGGAGGAAAATTCACATTTTAATTAGGCAAAATAAGTTAAAACAGTTTGCAGATACTCATATGCTATGCCTCAGAGCTTGGATTGTTTTTCACTGGTGATTGTTGATAAAAATTGTGGGGGCTTAGAAGGGCGTGAACCACTGGCTTAAAGGGGAAGGAGCTAAAGTGGCTCGTTTCAGACAGAGGTGGAACATTAAGCCGAAGTAAAAGATAAATAGTTATATTTTGAACTAGAATCCATGCAGTGCTATTCCAGCAGAGTTCAAGAATTAAAATCTGGAGAAAGGAAGTTTGAAATTTGGGAAATTAGCTGGTTATTTAGGATCATTTACTGCTACTGACAAAAACTTGTTTTCTTTATAATATGTTAGCACTTTGATTAGATGTTTAGGGACAAGAATATAGCGTGAACACAATCCACAGCATTTATAGCCTTACATAATATGAAATAAGCTAACTGAACGCAGAGGTTATATTTTGCTAAATGGACCTCGCTTGATATTGTTTGTGTGCTTGGGCCATTTAGGTGGACCTGCCCACTCACTGTGGTTTCATGGGAGGCCTTCAGAGAAATCGCAGCACAGGCCAGACCACTCCTTACTACGCCACTTCCACTACTGAGGTCATCTACCACGTCTCCACTCGCATGCCCCACGACCAGGACCTTAACCTCACCAAGAAGGTAACACACTCAACACAGTTTATCTAGACATGCAGATGGATGTATACAGGCTCTCTGTGAAGGGTGCTAGTTCCTCTTCGGTGTTTTTTGTTTTTTTGTTTCTTATAGTGTTAATAGTGCTCCCCACTGTAGCAGTAGTAAATTTATAACCAGTCGCAATTAAGTATGAAATATGTGTCATTAGCAGCACTTTATTTGCTGTTTTGGGCAACACAAAAAACCACTGTGACATTTCAAAAATTGTCAAAATTGCTTGATAGATGGATGGAAACATCTCCCAGACTACATCTGACTGTGTTTTATGTGCTGTGGAAAAGAGTAATTAGTAATAATGAGCATGCTTATTGTTCTAATTTCACTTCTTTTATGTAGTGAGGGGACAAGAACTCCTTAGTCCTTCTTTTCGTCCACCCACACCTCTTTGATGAGCATAGGTACACACTCACACCACTCTGATGTCAGTGCTTCTACCCCACACCAATGCATTCAATAATTCCTCGGAGCAATCACGCCTGTATTTGTGCAGTGTGGCGCGTGGGGTTGTATCAGCCTCTAGGCAGCCAGGTTTATTGTGCGTGCGTGCGGTTGTGTGTGTGTGTGTCTGTGTACACACCTGTCATCCCCCAGGCACTGGGCGCTCTGCACATGGCCATAATGTCCCCATAATCAGATCATACTTCCTGCTTCTCGGCCTATCACGTCGCTTCAGGCTCCTGATTGGATTATCACCGCCTGGTCCGACACCATCAGTCTCCCTGATCAGCTGATGGCCCCATCAAACACGCATAGTCACATACGGACACGCACACACGCCACTGTGAACCCGTTTAACGTGACACAAACACACATCCACGGCAGGTTTCATTTACATCCATCTGCCCAAATAACCGCACAGCCATACATTTGTGTTAATGCTGGACAAAGCGAGTGTACACAGGCTTACAGACACAGTTTGACAAACGTGTCCACAAACAGGTTAAACTGAGATTTATCATTGCCACCCACTGAAAATACAAACAGTGTTGTCCATCGCAGGACATTTTTCCAGGTGTACTTCGTGGTCTGTCTCATCTGTGCAAAACACGATTAAATGATTAAAGCTGCATTACACCAGGTGATCATGGCATCAGAGATGACATCACTCTGAGCTTCGTCACTGAAACATTTTTAAAATAAAAGTACAGCTCAGAGAGGCATATCAGACACCAAGACTCCAGACTGCCTTAAACTGTGCCACCTAATTGTTCTGACACCCAAAAAATACGACTTGAGGCTCATAACTCTTTCTTAAAGTGCAGTAATGGAAAGAGCATCAGTTCCCAGTATTACTGATGACTGTGAGTATCCTGCAGACACAGGAGGGGGTTTAGATTTATTCAAGGCAAAACTTCACAGATATATCAACTTTATGCTTTTCCCATCAAGTTCTGTCAGGTTAATTAAGCCTATAACTCACTGTATTCAGGTAAATTCAAGTCAGTGCTGCATGTTGGCGAAATCACGTCCAAATGTGTTAAATAATGCTTACATTTAAAAAAAAAAAAATTTAGTTGACCCCAAGCTTGTATACGAGCTGAGGATCAAGCGATGAACTCCAGGGTCAATGCAAAAGTGCAAAAACCTGCAATTCCTCCAGTGGCCACTTGATGCTGGCTAAACAAGTGAGTCAGTTCACAAAGACTAAAATAACCCAGTTAATAACTAATATCCCCATCGAAACAACTGTACTGTTGTAACTACGGAGCCCCGCAGGGGACATGGGAGAAAAAAAAATTAAGACGGACTTTTGCGGGATCTCGCAAAACCATCTCGGGGTCTCGCAAAACCATCTCGGGATCTAGCCGCATTCTTCCCGTTAGCTCGAAGCTAACGGGAGGTCGAGACCCACTACAGCCGGGAGGAACATCGCTTTCCCGGCAAATCGTGCCTCGACCTCCCGGTCGGCTTCGAGCCGGCGTCCGAAGAATGCGGCTAAAAGTTTTGCGAGATCTCGCAAAACTTTTGCGAGATCTCGCAAAAGTCCGTCTTAATTTTTTTTTCCTCCCATGTCCCCTGCGGGGCTCCGTAGTAACTCATCTCTCTGATGGGCAGCAGTAAGCTGACAGTTGACTGTAAGGCCTCACCTTCACTAGTTCCAGTCTTTGAACTGGACTAGCTGATAAGTTATAGGCACTAATGTATGTAACGGGTAGTGTAACATAAATCCCACCATGTGTAAAATACAGTATGTGATGTCTACAAACCAAATTACATCATTAAACTTTGCATCCCGGTGCACTATTTAATTAGTCATAAAAGTAACTGCAGTTAAACATTTAAAAGGATCTGTCTTCAGCGTGTTTGTCTCATGGCCGAGGACAAGACTGGCAGCTATCAGAAGGTGTGTACACAGACCTCTGTACACACCTTCTGGAGGACAACCCCCACCTGCCACCTCTGGGAGGTGGCAGGTGGGGGTGTGTGTTTTGGCAGACATCAAGGTTAATGACTGAGCTGTCACCAGCCCCGACTGTAGTCGGCGTGGGTGTGAATCTCACACACAGTCAGAGGATCACACACAATCCCATCTGTCTTCGAGCCCCTACTCCATCTTTCCGGGGCTTCACTTTGTCTTGTTGTCCACTCTCCATCTTCACACACGCACTCCATCACGGCCAGGGCCACCTAAACCACATATACACACAGACTTCAAAGCCTTGGGGTTATGATGGATACAGCCTATCCAGCTCCGTTTGCAGATCCCTCTCGGTCAATGTTGGTATTTGAGTAATAATGTATATTTTTCTTCCATTTTGATTCTATTAATTTCTTTTCTTTCTTTTTTGCCTCTCCAGCTCAGACATCTTGGCAACGACGAAGTCCACATCGTCTGGTCAGAACATTCCAGGGACTACCGCCGCGGGATCATCCCCACTGAGTTCGGAGATGTGCTAATCATCATCTACCCCATGAAGAACCACATGTATTCCATCCACATACTCAAAAAACCAGAGGTAAACACGCAGGACTAGGCAGTTGTTCCTTACACACAGACCTTTAAAGCTCATTATTAAAACCTGGCATGGTAATTTAACTGCCCCCTGAGCTTATCACTGATGGCTATCTGTGTCACCTTTTGTGGGAATTGTTGGCCAATCAATGTAATCTTTCCCATTATCAGTGGAAGCAGTGCCAAATTAAAGGAAAAATCGAAACACTTTTTTAAATGCAGCCTTTTTTAGCTGTATTTGTGGCAAAGCAACAATGAAATGTTAAATAAGTGAAATGTTCACTTATTAAAAGTCTTACTTAGTTAGCCATTTTTGTATTTTTTTTTATACTTAGACTTGTGTGGATTTGGGGAAAATTTGGTTGGAGAAAAAAAATGAGAACAATATTTGGTCCATGATTTTATGTTTCCTACCAGACCCCACAGATATGCATCCAGATTGACTAACAATCCTAGAGAGAGTCTTGCCCCAAGTCTTTCTGATCTGGTTAATGTATCAGTCTAAAGCACACAGACATTAATACCACAGCACTGATGGCATAACTCTATTTCAAACAAGCCCTAACACAATAAAATGCTGCTTTTTTTTTCTCTGTGACATAGATACCACAGCACTAATAACATAATCATATTCTCTTTCATTCATTCTGCAGGGAAAAATATTGAATTATCATGAATCCAAAAACAAGTTAGATAAGATATTCCCTTTGTTGTTGTCCTGAAAGCACATGTATTCGGCCACAGAGCGCATGGCTTGGAGACCTGGTCCACAAATAAACTCAATAAAAGTCCGGCATTAGTTTCTTTGGTGGATTCCACAAGCAAAGCATTGAATTATATGGGAAAGTCAAAGCCTGAATCAAATATTGTATCATTACAAAAATCTGTGGCGTCAATCATTACTTGTCAGGGTCGGTTCAGTAGAACTGAGTAACTCCCACTGTTTCATAAAAATCTAGACTTTTCAGGGTTTTCTTTAAAAAAAAAAATCTAATTTGAACTATATAAAGGAATAAACGTGGATTTAATGCCAGTTTTGTTCTCTGTAGGTTCCTTTCTTTGGTCCGCTGTTTGATGGAGCCATTGTGGACATGAAGATTTTGCCCACCATGGTGAGAGCGACAGCTATCAACGCGAGCCGGGCCCTTAAATCCCTCATCCCTCTCTACCAGAACTTGTATCCTTTAAAACCCTCATATGAAAATTTAGGATAAAAAGGCAAAGGTAGGATGCTGAAAATGAGTTTTCGCTCTGGTTTTTCTCTTTTCTTGTGTTATATTAGCATATTATTTATATTGTTATGTATTATGTTTGCGTTTTAAGAGATATTTAACCTCACAAGACTCTTTTGCCACAAACTTCAGGAAAAAAAACTTCATTCAAAACTCAAAGGTCTGCAGCACGTGGATTTATGCTATTACCAGCTCTCTGTTTAGGTCTGAAGACTTCAGCTATTCCTGCACTTTGCAAAGTTTTAAGTATCAAGGTGAACGAGAGTCACACCAAATACATATCTAATTTCTTTCTTTCTTTTTTTCCAAATGATTGCTCAGAAGAATTCAGGGGAGTATTTTATTATTATTGGCCTGAAAGAGTTTGCAAAACACTTTAAATATCACTGTGTCTAACCTTCACTGAAACAGGTAGGCTTGCTGACAGCTGACAGCATATCGTCCTTTGCAGCCTCGTGCAGAAAAGGCCTTCAATCTCTTTTTCTTTTGTACTGTGGTTGTAGCTTTTTTAGTGTTACATTAAACTCTTAAGTCCACTAAATGCAGTCTAAAACTATTTTTAGCAGTTTTGCATCACCTTGATATTTATTTATTTATTTATTTAATTTTTTATGACTTGCCCTGTCATCCACAATTCCACATGCTCTCAAATGATGAGATGTTTTAAAAACTTACATTGAAGTTGTGAGAATGTCGTTTTGCTGTGTGAGCTTTTGAAATCGTTGCACGTGTGAGTGTGAGAGAGAATGTTGGGTTGGAGGATTAAGAATAGCAGATCAATGTCCAGTGCTGTGCAGCTTTCAGAATATGAGAGCTCGTTTGATAGAGCTGCATTTAGTTGCCTCTGAAGTGCTATATATCAAGTGTGGGTGTTTACCCGTGCGTGGCCAGGCAGAGAAGATTGGGATGCACATTCGGAGGGTGTGTATATGTGTGTGTCTGTGAATCCGTGTGTGCAAGGAGAGAAAGGCAGACAGACAGGTGTGCATGCAGTCTGTCTGCCTGATCCGAAGCGATGGTTTGGAAGAAGCCGTGGTCGATAATTATCGATGACTCTCCTCTCTAATGCTGTTCCTAAATGAGAGGCTTTGCTCTCTGGTCTCAGAGACACACAGCCAGATAAGTATCCACATTCATACACACTCTTGATTACACTTACATGGACACAAGAGGTACAGAAATCCAAGTGAATCAATATAAAAACATGCAGATTAATTAACATTTTTCAACCAATATTTTTTTAAAGAAAGACTGTGAAACTAAAAAACAAACAAACACAAAAACCAAAACAGTAATTGTCCCCCATGTCTGTGTGCATATCTTTGTGTTCTCTCTTTTCTTTGTGTTCAAAACTGCCTGATGACCAATTAAAGGAAAAACATAATCACTTCCTGCTGTGACAAAACAAATTTCCCACGTGTGGGACTAATAAAGGTTATCTTATCTTATCTATTCCCTACAGTGAGAGGATCCGGTGGCTCCGTTTTGTCGTGAGGGACTTTGTGCAGACATGCTTTGGTTCCACTTGTCCCTTTGAAAGAGAATCGTCAATACAAAGTTTTTCTGAGTGATCACCTTCATCCTGAAAAACAGGTGCTTTTAACTTCTAGGCTGAACGATTGTAATTCCTTATTATTATTATTATTTTTTTATTTCTACCAGAATGCTGCAGTGAGATGACTAACATGAAGTGTTTAATTCAGTATTAAATTTGAAATCCTTCTCTTCACATGCAAAGCCCGAATGTCCCCATTATATCTCAAAGACCCCAAAGATACCTTAGTATCGGTGTAGAGCCACTTTGCTCTCAGACTGCAGCCTAACTTGTGTTTCCTATGTTTCCCAAGAGTAGAGCCTTTTGGTATCAGGCAGCTTCAGTTATCAGACTTTGTCCAAGTCATCCAGTTCACCTGGAAGGTGCACACATGTGGGGGATTTGGCACTGAGGTGTTAGACATTATTCTGAGGGAGAAAATCCTTTGAAAGATTGGTGTTCATCCATGCAGTACAGTTCCAGAGCCTCTGTGATTCAGGGTCAAAACTGCTTGGAGCTGTTCTGGTGGCATGTGGCATCACTTCCCCCCCACCTTTACTTTGTCACCTGCCCTGTACATTGTGCAGGTGATGAAAGATGGTGGACCATGTGGATAGACGAGGGAAAGGACAGGGCGAGGAAGCCATTTCGCTCTGCTAGTGATACACAGGCTGTTAGGCTCAGTGTGGGGCTGTAGCTCGTGAGCAAACACCCCCCCTCCCGACAGCTTTGTGTAGGTGTATGTGCGTTTTTGTGCGCCCACTGCTTCTTCCCCACCTTCATGTCTGTTTGTGTTTTTTGTGTTACTCCAGCAATCTTGAGCGAGTGTGCAGACATGTAGACACCTCTGCTAGCGTCCACATGTCCTGCGTTTCCGTGCAAGACTGTGTGTGCACGTCCGTTTACCCACTGCGCACGTTTGTTTGTGAGCATGTGCACTTGGTGACACACTTGTGTCACGCATGCTTGTTTTGGGGTGTTTGTGTGTGTCTGAAAGTGTCCTGGCGCGTATCGATTGGTGGTAGCAGCAGGCCGATGTCTCTGACAGCCTGAATTACAGTAATCAGTCATTATTGACTCCCCATCTCTGTGCTACACACACCACTCTGCTCCTCTTATCTGTCTCTCCACCTCTCCCTCCCTTTGTGTCCCCCACTTCTGTCACTCCTTTCCTCCCTCCCTCCCTCCCTCAAACTCTGGGACCATCTATCTTTACACTCACATCCCTGTACGTCTTCTTGTGGCCTTTTCCACCTCCTCCTGCTTCTATCTCGTATCTGTGGCCCTCATCATCTTTTCCTCTATCTTCCTCCCTAATTCTTTCCCTGCATTGTCTCTCTTGTCACTCTAATTCCTTTATCTTCGCAAATCCTTTTTTTCTATCTCTGTCGTACTGTCTGTTTTTCATCTTTTTCACATTTATTACTTTTCGTTCTTCATTCAGTTTTTCTCCCCCAGATCTTTTTCTTGTCTGTTCATTCTCATTGTCCTAAAGTGAGGGAAAGAAGCTTCATGATGTAATAGCAACCCTTTAAGACAAACTTTTCTCAATAATATTTCCCTGTTGGCATTTTTCTTCCAGCTAGGTCCCCTCAAGTATGAAGGACTGCAATAATAAAAAATAAATAAAGTAAAAAATGTGTAAATAAATTGTTACCAAATATTAGTAGCCCATGCTTTGTATTCCTGTCATTCAGTGTTATAGAAATCATTTGAGACTCCTAATGTCAAAAAAATTAAAAGAAACTAAAATGCTTGTGATATGTTACATCGAAGATTATGCATTTGTTGGCAAATTTTTGCCCCATATATGAGGGACCAGAACCTATGAAATGGACTTAATATTCTGTTCATTATGACCAGAAATGAGTGTCTGAGCTCAAAAACTCATCAGGAAAGTGTTTAGAGATCAGGGCCCGAGGCCTTTTTGTCCTCATATTCTTCTACAGGAGCAGGAGTTTCTTTGCAACCACAGGTATCTCCCCCTGGTGGCTGTTGAAAGGATTACAGGTTTATTAAAGGTTTAAGACCAGTTTCATTGGCTTCCCTTTTCTGACCTTTTGTACTGAATGTGGTTGGGCATCAAACAGTTTGTCCAGCTTAGCAGAAAGGCTAATGTCAGTTAGCACTAGTAAGTACTGCTAGCGGTCATCGTATGGTAATCTCATTCTTGATCTGCATGTTTTTGTTTTAGCAAAGATTTTACGTCAGAAGACCTTCCTAACCCAAGCCTCCCATTGGTGTGAGCTTGGGGCCAACGCTCACATGTGTACACTGGTTTTCTGACTGTAGAGTAGTTGAGATTTGAAGAGAGATGAATGATTCATATCTTCCTGACATACCTGTGAATTCGGCAACACGGAATACATGAGGCTTAGATGTCCTTGTGTATGAATCTCCTTCAGTTCTGCATAAAGCTTCAGCTGAGTGCTGCATTGTAACATTGACTGATAGGACCTCGCTGAGGGGCTGACACAGAAGCAAAATGAGAGAAGGTTGGCAAGACAAAGTATGTCAGTGTTAACTGGCATTTTTCTCGTCTTTCTTTCCCGTTCTCTCTCTCTCCCGCTCTCTCTCTGTCTGTCTTCTTCCCTCTCTCCCCCTCTCTCTGTCTCTTGGCCCTCAGGGCAGTCCATCTGCCTTTTCTCTCTCTCTGATCTTTCATTCACCGTGACCAGAGCCATCCAAAACCACACAGCACACTCACACACAGGGTGCCAGGCTGCTGGGGCAGCTGTGTGTAAGCACAGCTCTATCTCACATATCAGCTCACTGCAGCAGCAGAAGCAGTCCAAAACTCCCCAACACATGCATGCACACACTCTTCATATAGGCCTTACTACACTCGCACGTGTCACGATGAACAATAACACAAAGCTGGTATTAGAAACTTCCCTTCTCTTCCCGCTGATGACTCGTGTTAGCACACACGCAGCCAGTCTTTAGTCACGTAAAGAATAGCCCATCAGATTGGAATCAGTCCTCCTGAACTTATAGATTAGACCAGATAAAAGTGTGGAGCAGACTGCTGGGTATCATCGCTCTTTAAGCGACACCAGCGTGTCGGGATCCAGATGTGATTTGCGTAGCCCTACTGTAGATCATCTCTATCACAATTCCCTTGGATTTATTACTGGGGAAAGTTGCGAAGCTGTTCGTAATTAACTTTAATGTTTTTTACCATTACTTTTAAGACTTGAAAACATGGGTTACAGTGCATGTTTGCAAGAATGCTTTGCTTTTGATATTACCCTTGTGAATGAAGAAAGCATGCACCATTAGAGGTGGGAAAGTCATATGTCAGCCTGCAGCATAAAACCTGCTTTTTTTATGTGCCTGCTTGTCCTTGACTAAAGTAATGTTGATTTCATGACAAAAAGTTGAAGTAAACCTTTAGATCGTGGCACTTTG